CCTGTTCATAAAAGTACAGTGCTCTTTCGAAGTTCTTCAGCCCGGTATAGATCATCCCTCCATAATAATAGTAACATAAAAAGTGCTTTGCATCATAAGCTCCATTCTCTTTACAGATATCCATCATGTCCACATCAAGGTATGGAAGGGCAGGCTTAAAGCATTTTGCCAGCAAACAAAGCTGTGAAAAATTTTATGTTACATCATCATTTTAATCATACTTGGCAGGCTTTTGCAGAAGGAGCAAATTCATAGATTCCAGAAAGGTCAAGAAAATATTTTAAACCATTTACTGATTAAAAATGTTCTAAATGTTGACACAGTACCCCGTTTTCCTAAGCATTCAGAATAAAACAGCATTTCTTTATAAAAAGACTAAGCAGCCATGAGATAAAGTACTCCACAGACGAATGAAAGCTCAACTATAATTAGCCCACCCAGCACCCATTCGGTTTACAGATACCCAGACAAGTGAGTCCTTTTTCTCTTTGAGGAGAACAGAAAAGGACCGGTATAGTATGATAAAAACTAAGTTTCTCTTCAATTATTTCTTTTCAATTGCTGAATCCTGTATGTAAGTATAGGGAATTGCTCAACTCAAACTCAACAAGGCAAGCACATGGCAATGTTCTGTAACTGCATGATGATGCTGGTACAGGGGTAGATCCACGTACAAACCCAGAGCTGGGCGTTTAAGACCATGCACTTTACTTACTGTATGTGTGTTATACCTCAATCACCAAAGGTTTTTAAAAGATAAAAAGCAAAGAAAAAAAAAACACCTTGATGTGATACTAGGACATCTGTTTGGAATAGTCCAGGTACCATATTATTAATTAAAGACACAATCTACACCCCGTGGGGCTGGTTGAACCCCCTCCCCAGCCTTATGGAATACTCTGTAACTGCAAAGCACTGATGTGCAGTCCTCTCCAAGATACACTAAGTAGAAAAAAGCAAGGTACATAAGAGTTCATACAGATCATTACTATTTGTATAAAAAAAAAAAATGAGAGAAAAAAATGCACGCATTTGCTTATATGCGCACAAAATATCTTTGGAAGGATACACAAAAAACTAACACAGATTTCCTCTGGAGAGAAGAGATGGGTGGCTAGTGAGCAAGGTGGTAGGGAGACTTCATCACACGTCTTCCCTTTTGCCTCCTGGGTTTGTAACCATGTAAAATAAAATAAACGAGTAACACTTCAAAGTGTAAGAAGTTACCTATATTTATTCTCAGGCTCCCTAATTCCTTAAAAAGAAAATGACTTGGGACATTTTTAACATCACAAGCATTACTTACTCAGTTTACTCACATCACAAACCTACTGGCTGAGTCCCACTCTATAGTTTGCATTCAGTAGCAGCCAGCTGAAAATTCCCTTACTAACAAAGTTAGTATATTTTTCAACTTCTAGAGCCTATCACAGTCTCCACCAAATTACGTTCCTTTATTGAGCAAACCCATGACCAACCCTCCACCTCTGACTCAGTGTGCCTAGTACTCCTCGGTGGCTTACCTGGCAGAGATCAGCGTGTATTGAGGTCAGCTGGTTTGTATTCATCTGCATCTTGTCTATGGCTTGCTTTAGGATGCCAATTCCTCGCAGGGGCTGTTTCCTTTCCACAAGTGCGTTTGTCAGCTGATGGCAAAGCCCAGCAAAAGTGTCTGTTGCGTATCGGATGTGCTCCCCGTTACAAGTGCTGATGAAAAGCTGAACCTGTGAGAATAACGTTTCGAAGTCAGGAACACTAGGCATGGAAAACTTCACAAATAAAACAGCAAGGACGCCTAAGGAGTGCTCTTGTACATCCAGAGCCCCAAGCACAGTGTCCAGATGGGATAAGTTCTTTGCAAGGAGTTCCCCACTCTTGTTGATCAGTTCACAAAGCTGAGTCATTTGCCCTTGAGCCGAGAGCTGTCGGACACTGTTCACGAATTGCTCCAGGGCAGACGCCATGTTTCCCCCCCGTTTGTTTTGTTTCTTAAATTTCACATATGAGTGAAGTCATAGGATATTTGTCTTTCTCTGACTGACTTATTTCACTTAGCACCAGATTCTTAAAAGTTTATATAGAGCCCTTAACTAAGTTCAGTCATGTGTTTGGTCTCGATGGTTTCAACAACACCTTACTCTCTCAAGGCTATGTCCTTGAAACAGCGCCTAGTGTGGGAATCATGGGTAGAATGTACATTCAAGGATAAGGAAGGGGTGAGGAGCCTGTGAATGCCTGGGTCCAGTTCACAATTCAACCAGCAGTAATGTCCTCTGGATGGCCAACTCCAACAGTTTAAAAGCCTTTAAAACTGTTAAAACAATGCTTAGCTCATGAGTCCTAGAAAAATATGCCACACACCAAATATGGCCTAAAGGCAGTAAGTTATTGACTTCTTGTCTACAAAAATCTGATTTTTATTTAATTCTATTGATAAATGTATAAGTCTTTTGTTACACTACATAACTGTATCAGAGATATTAAAATAACATTTGCCATGCCATACATAAGTATAATCAGTATCTTTTTTCCATTCCTTTCCAACAGAAGCAACCTTTCCCACAAATACTACTCTTTCCCAGTGACTACAATGGTGACAAGAAGTTGTTATTTTGTCAATTCTATATTCCATCTGGTTTGTTGGTATAACTATACATTATAAAATAAGTTTTTACAATCAGCAACTTTCAGTTCTCATTATGTAACAACACCAACTATTTACCTCCCTTAATATCTCTAAGGATTTTTTTTTCCTTTATCCAGTCACAACCAGTTGTGCCATAGGTAAGGCAAATTTTATTTTCAACCAGAAGACAAAAAAACTGCACTGTTCAGTGACAACCTGCCATAATGTTGGCTTACCACTGACTTCCCAAGGTTGGTCTTCCTTAGCTTGGCTTTCTAAAACTCCCAGCCACTTTAAATACATTCCATCCCATAGTAATTAGAATTCCCAGTAGTCTTTCCCAGGTGAGATTACAGCCTGCTTTCAGTGTTGTTGATAGATGTGATATTCCATTAGAGTCATTATCCTATTTATCCATTCAATTAGATCCTTGTTGTTCTTCCAGATCAATTTCCAGCTGTGGTCTGTCTCCTAGAAGAAACCTCCTTCTTGGGCGCCTGGGTGGCTCAGTTGGTTAAGCGACTGCCTTCGGCTCAGGTCATGATCCTGGAGTCCCGGGATCGAGTCCCGCATCGGGCTCCCTGCTCGGCGGGGAGCCTGCTTCTCCCTCTGACCCTCCCCCCTCTCATGTGCTCTCTCATTCTATCTCTCTCAAATAAATAAATAAAATCTTAAAAAAAAAAAAAAGAAACCTCCTTCTTGTGTCGTTCTGAGAATTTGCAAATCTTTTATGTCATGAAAAGCCTAAAATAACTGATTAGTACTCTAAGACCAGCTCCTAATATACCTATGCCACAGAGGGACCAGTAGGGATCAAGACATTACGTATGCCATTGCCACTGCACACTAATGGATTGCATACTGTTTGAAATAATAGTGTACACTGAAAAATATTGTATGTCCCATGTGACTGTCACTTGGGCATATCTTAACCCCTATAACAGCTCTAGTGGGGAGGGTCATAAATCTTTCCATAATGTTCTTTGCATCCTTATGGACTGGAGTTATCTGTAACTTTGAGTCACCAAATCACACCCAAAACTATGTCTTTTGAAACTGTTTATGTTTCATTTCCACTGTCTTCATATAAATTTTGTTCACTTTTACAAAACAGTGGTGACACACTGGTTGGGCAGCTTCATTCTACTTTTCATCCTATTGAGACTGCTATCTCAGCAGTGTTTCATCTTTATCTATGGCCACCAGAGTGTAGAATCTCTGTTGTTCTGCCTCTTCTCCTCTGTTCACTCTATTGGTAATATTCTTTCAGGTCATCTGATAATTAACCAGACTAATAAGTATGGCTTATACACTGTGAACCAGTTGATAGCTTTATTTGACTCCTGCAAGTTGCAGCATCAGAGGGTGCTTTGTCATGACTACTAAAAATTATTAGGATGAACTCTTTAGGAAGAACTTTAAATTCAGCAGTAGTCTATTTTCCCCTCTCGAGAGAGAACTGTTCCAGAAGTTTTTCCCACCGTTGGTCATTAGTCAGTACCAGATCTGAGACAGGTAGGAGTATTATTATAGTGTTTCATGCACTTGGTGGAAATGGAATGATTGCCTCCCCCTGTGATTGTAATAGACTTCTAAGAGCCTCTTTTCCCTATGCTATAATCTCCTACTTTTTCCATTTATTACCTCTTTTAACCTTTACCCTTCTGATGGTTGGGCTTTCTAGCTCAGCAGAAATACTATTTACACCCAAAATTATAACAGCAGACTAGTTCATACTTTTTCCCAACCCCACTTTAAGGTGGTATCAAATTGCACTGAGTAATGGAGCCACATTCAGAGCTAACCAAATTTAGCTATGTAGGAAGAAGTTACAATTATCCCTGAAGAACTCTTGTAAATAAACCATTTTGATTGTTTAAATGTCTTTTATTGAGCATTTGTCACATCTCTGGCATATACATATATTTGAACCTTGGCTTAGTCCAATGGATGAGGCAAAATCAAAGAAAAATTGTATGAGATAATGAACGATAGAGTTAAAACAGCTGGCCTGTGATCCATTCGCTCATCTTACTGGTGAATATGCCACTGGTAAAAAAAAAAAAAAAAAAAAAAGTGTTGCATCTGATCACTTCGTTATGTGGTCTTCCAGGTACATAGACTAGTGGTATTTTTCAGGTCAAAAGATCTTATCTACTGAATGTCTTTATCAGTGTGTCATTTGTTAAAGATTATTTTCAGTAAATGAGCAAAGAATCTGTGAGGGATGTCTCTTTAGAAAAATAGCATGTGAATAAACAAATCTCTGGGATAAAAAATATGAGATGTTTCCTAACTGGAATATTTCTGAGGAACTCCTAAAATCCTTATATTCAGACCTCATTAACTGCTCTGATTCAGGCAGCACAGGTCTGATGTGACAAGAAAGAGAACTATAAGATGTCTTAGACCACTTTGCTTATCTCATTTGCTTGATTGCCATATCCTTGAAATTGTTAGTAACATTTGTAATATTTGATATTAGGTAAGATTGCTGATTTTTGTGAATCTGATTTAACAATCTGATTTTTTTTAATCTCCCACATTTTTTAAAAAAAATTAAATAAATGCACATACTTAAACTGTACAATATGATGTTTTGATATACACATACATAGTAAAATGATTAATGCAGTGAAGCTAGTTAACATTTCCATTTCCTCTTAGCTACCTTTTTTGTGTGTGTGGTGAAAGCACTTAAAATCTACCCACTTAAGTGTTACCTCTGTTGGGAAAAATATAAACTGTGTAATTGCATCCTCTCCAGCCTCTAACAGGGGTGTTCTTAGTTAACTAGTTTATCTGATGCCCATGTGCCTGACCACGTAGCAAAGTCATTGGCTCCAGCTCCAGGGACCTATAAATGTCTAAACGCTTTCATGAGGGTTGATACCTAACTCATCAGCAACTTAAGCAATCCAGACTTCACCCACTCTTCAGATTTGCCCTTGTCTTCTAAGTAAAGTTTTTAGCATTTTCATGATCTACTGCTGATTTTTAAATGACACGGACCTCAATCCATGGATTCTATCTGAACCAGGCAACTTACTTTGGCACCACTTGGAGAGACTTACAGGGTTCTGACTGACTACACAGCAATATGGGTGGAGAAAAAAGGTCCTCAGTGCTCTAGTGTTGGTCTAATGTGCAATGAGGAAACTACCTTTGTATATAAGATGAAACTCTTCCCCACAACTTATGCCTTATAATGTGTTCTTGAACATACCACTTCCGGTTCATAATTAAACTCTATCACACTGCCTCTTCCATATTCTAATGATTCTCTGACATCATCTCAAGACATGATGGAATTTTCTGACCCAGAATTATCTAATGTCCTTTCAGAATGAAAGGAATCTTGACTAATGTCAAGTAATATGCCAACAATTTCCTTCCAAATGAGGTATAATGAATAGCTTTCTCATGTAGCTTAGAGTCCCAAATCCAAAGAGTCTCTACTTGGTAGCATTTTTCTATTTAAGCCAAAGGCTCCCATATCCATATATATCATCTATCATCTGAGCAGTTAGGGTGTAAGTACCTAGTTGGACTGCCTGTACCTTTTACCTCTGTAGAATGTTAAGTTGTTTCTGTGCTGGACCGCATGTAAATTCAGATGTCCTCATGTTGATTTGGGGAAGAGAAGGCAATAAGATTCCTAGGTGAGGGTGCTAATTTTGCCAAAAGCAACTAGATTTGCCACTTTCTTAAATTATTTATTAGCAAGGTCTTCAGAAATAATAATTAATTCTCATAATTTAATTGTTATACTTAATTGATCTAACCCATTTAATTCCCTGGAACTTTACAGATTCACTTGGTCCTTAAATTTTAGCAGAATTTATAAGCTAGACACTATTTGTCGTGAGGATAATGATGGTTCTTGCCTCCTCCTAAAATTCTTCTTCTGAGAAGACACTTACCATGATATAATCTATGCTGGTAAAAAAAAAAAATACTGACTTGCCCTCAATGATTTACATCTTTAATTCAAGTCAAATCCTGCCTCACTACATTGTGCTAACATACCATGGAATTTAGATATGCCTTTGTCACTTAGTAAATGTATAAGGATTTCCATTTCATAAGAATACAAATTTTGCTGGACTGGCTTTCAAAACTGTGATCACAAAGAGGTAGTAGACAGGTCTATAATGTTATTATAGAATGTTATTCAAGCTATCTTTCACCTAGTATACTTCGTATATAGTCTTTATCAACATAGTTACAATTGAATATTTGCAGGAAACACTTTGGTTAATATTTCATAATTTACAGTTAACTTCTACAGAAACATCTTTGTACACTGGCTAAGTAAGAATATTAAAATATGAGCTAGTGAG